TACAGTCTATGGTACAGAGGGTACAGTCTATGGTACAGAGGGGTACAGTCTATGGTACAGAGCGGTACAGTCTATGGTACAGAGGGTACAGTCTATGGTACAGAGGGGTACAGTCTATGGTACAGAGGGTACAGTCTATGGTACAGAGGGTACAGTCTATGGTACAGAGGGGTGCAGTCTATGGTACAGAGGGGTACAGTCTATGGTACAGAGGGTACAGTCTATGGTACAGAGGGTACAGTCTATGGTACAGAGCGGTACAGTCTATGGTACAGAGGGTACAGTCTATGGTACAGAGGGGTACAGTCTATGGTACAGAGGGTACAGTCTATGGTACAGAGGTACAGTCTATGGTACAGAGGGTACAGTCTATGGTACAGAGGGTACAGTCTATGGTACAGAGGGTACAGTCTATGGTACAGAGCGGTACAGTCTATGGTACAGAGGGGTACAGTCTATGGTACAGAGGGTAAAGTCTATGGTACAGAGGTACAGTCTATGGTACAGAGGGTAAAGTCTATGGTACAGAGGTACATCTATGGTACAGAGGGTACAGTCTATGGTACAGAGGGTACAGTCTATGGTACAGAGGGTACAGTCTATGGTACAGAGGGGTACAGTCTATGGTACAGAGGGGTACAGTCTATGGTACAGAGCGGTACAGTCTATGGTACAGAGGGTACAGTCTATGGTACAGAGGGGTACAGTCTATGGTACAGAGGGTACAGTCTATGGTACAGAGGGTACAGTCTATGGTACAGAGGGGTGCAGTCTATGGTACAGAGGGGTACAGTCTATGGTACAGAGGGTACAGTCTATGGTACAGAGGGTACAGTCTATGGTACAGAGCGGTACAGTCTATGGTACAGAGGGTACAGTCTATGGTACAGAGGGGTACAGTCTATGGTACAGAGGGTACAGTCTATGGTACAGAGGGTACAGTCTATGGTACAGAGGGGTGCAGTCTATGGTACAGAGGGGTACAGTCTATGGTACAGAGGGGTACAGTCTATGGTACAGAGGGTACAGTCTATGGTACAGAGGGGTACAGTCTATGGTACAGAGGGTACAGTCTATGGTACAGAGGGGTACAGTCTATGGTACAGAGGGTACAGTCTATGGTACAGAGAGGTACAGTCTATGGTACAGAGGGTACAGTCTATGGTACAGAGGTACAGTCTATGGTACAGAGGGGTACAGTCTATGGTACAGAGGTACAGTCTATGGTACAGAGGGTACAGTCTATGGTACAGAGGGTACAGTCTATGGTACAGAGGGTACAGTCTATGGTACAGAGCGGTACAGTCTATGGTACAGAGGGGTACAGTCTATGGTACAGAGGGTAAAGTCTATGGTACAGAGGTACAGTCTATGGTACAGAGGGTAAAGTGTATGGTACAGAGGTACATCTATGGTACAGAGGGTACAGTCTATGGTACAGAGGGTACAGTCTATGGTACAGAGGGTACAGTCTATGGTACAGAGGGGTACAGTCTATGGTACAGAGGGGTACAGTTTATGGTACAGAGGGGTGCAGTCTATGGTACAGAGGGTACAGTCTATGGTACAGAGGGTACAGTCTATGGTACAGAGGGTACAGTCTATGGTACAGAGGGTACAGTCTATGGTACAGAGCGGTACAGTCTATGGTACAGAGGGTACAGTCTATGGTACAGAGGGTACAGTCTATGGTACAGAGGGGTACAGTCTATGGTACAGAGGGGTACAGTCTATGGTACAGAGGGTACAGTCTATGGTACAGAGGGTACAGTCTATGGTACAGAGGGGTACAGTCTATGGTACAGAGGGTACAGTCTATGGTACAGAGGGGTACAGTCTATGGTACAGAGGGTACAGTCTATGGTACAGAGGTACAGTCTATGGTACAGAGGGGTACAGTCTATGGTACAGAGGTACAGTCTATGGTACAGAGGGTACAGTCTATGGTACAGAGGGTACAGTCTATGGTACAGAGGGTACAGTCTATGGTACAGAGCGGTACAGTCTATGGTACAGAGGGGTACAGTCTATGGTACAGAGGGTAAAGTCTATGGTACAGAGGTACAGTCTATGGTACAGAGGGTAAAGTCTATGGTACAGAGGTACATCTATGGTACAGAGGGTACAGTCTATGGTACAGAGGGTACAGTCTATGGTACAGAGGGTACAGTCTATGGTACAGAGGGGTACAGTCTATGGTACAGAGGGGTGCAGTCTATGGTACAGAGGGTACAGTCTATGGTACAGAGGGTACAGTCTATGGTACAGAGGGTACAGTCTATAGTACAGAGGGGTACAGTCTATAGTACAGAGGGGTACAGTCTATGGTACAGAGGGTACAGTCTATGGTACAGAGGGGTACAGTCTATGGTACAGAGGGTACAGTCTATGGTACAGAGGGTACAGTCTATGGTACAGAGAGGTACAGTCTATGGTACAGAGGGTACAGTCTATGGTACAGAGGTACAGTCTATGGTACAGAGGGTACAGTCTATGGTACAGAGGGTACAGTCTATGGTACAGAGGGGTACAGTCTATGGTACAGAGGGTAAAGTCTATGGTACAGAGGTACATCTATGGTACAGAGGGTACAGTCTATGGTACAGAGGGTACAGTCTATGGTACAGAGGGGTACAGTCTATGGTACAGAGGTACAGTCTATGGTACAGAGGGTACAGTCTATGGTACAGAGGGTACAGTCTATGGTACAGAGGGTACAGTCTATGGTACAGAGCGGTACAGTCTATGGTACAGAGGGGTACAGTCTATGGTACAGAGGGTAAAGTCTATGGTACAGAGGGTACAGTCTATGGTACAGAGGGTACAGTCTATGGTACAGAGGTACAGTCTATGGTACAGAGGGTACAGTCTATGGTACAGAGGGTACAGTCTATGGTACAGAGGGTACAGTCTATGGTACAGAGGGGTACAGTCTATGGTACAGAGGTACAGTCTGGTAAGGGGTACAGTCTATGGTACAGAGGGTACAGTCTATGGTACAGAGGGTACAGTCTATGGTACAGAGGGTACAGTCTATGGTACAGAGGGTACAGTCTATGGTACAGAGGGTACAGTCTATGGTACAGAGGGGTACAGTCTATGGTACAGAGGGGTACAGTCTATGGTACAGAGGGTACAGTCTATGGTACAGAGGGTACAGTCTATGGTACAGAGGGTACAGTCTATGGTACAGAGGGTACAGTCTATGGTACAGAGGGGTACAGTCTATGGTACAGAGGGTACAGTCTATGGTACAGAGGGTACAGTCTATGGTACAGAGGGGTACAGTCTATGGTACAGAGGGGTACAGTCTATGGTACAGAGGGTACAGTCTATGGTACAGAGGGTACAGTCTATGGTACAGAGGGGTACAGTCTATGGTACAGAGGGTACAGTCTATGGTACAGAGGGGTACAGTCTATGGTACAGAGGGTACAGTCTATGGTACAGAGGGTACAGTCTATGGTACAGAGGGTACAGTCTATGGTACAGAGGGTACAGTCTATGGTACAGAGGGGTACAGTCTATGGTACAGAGGGTACAGTCTATGGTACAGAGGGTACAGTCTATGGTACAGAGGGGTACAGTCTATGGTACAGAGGGTACAGTCTATGGTACAGAGGGTACAGTCTATGGTACAGAGGGTACAGTCTATGGTACAGAGGGTACAGTCTATGGTACAGAGGGTACAGTCTATGGTACAGAGGGTACAGTCTATGGTACAGAGGGTACAGTCTATGGTACAGAGGGTACAGTCTATGGTACAGAGGGTACAGTCTATGGTACAGAGGGTACAGTCTATGGTACAGAGGGTACAGTCTATGGTACAGAGGGTACAGTCTATGGTACAGGGTACAGTCTATGGTACAGAGGGTACAGTCTATGGTACAGGGTACAGTCTATGGTACAGAGGGTACAGTCTATGGTACAGAGGGTACAGTCTATGGTAAGAGGGTACAGTCTATGGTACGAGGTACAGTCTATGGTACAGAGGGTACAGTCTATGGTACAGAGGTACAGTCTATGGTACAGGGTAGTCTATGGTACAGAGGGTACAGTCTATGGTACAGAGGGTACAGTCTATGGTACAGAGGGTATGTCAGTCTATGGTACAGAGGGTACAGTCTATGGTACAGAGGGTAAGTCTATGGTACAGAGGTACATCTATGGTACAGAGGGTACATCTATGTACGGGCAGTCAGTCTATGGTACAGAGGGTACAGTCTATGGTACAGAGGGTACAGTCTATGGTACAGAGGGGTACAGTCTATGGTACAGAGGGGTGCAGTCTATGGTACAGAGGGTACAGTCTATGGTACAGAGGGTACAGTCTATGGTACAGAGGGGTACAGTCTATAGTACAGAGGGGTACAGTCTATAGTACAGAGGGGTACAGTCTATGGTACAGAGGGTACAGTCTATGGTACAGAGGGGTACAGTCTATGGTACAGAGGGTAAAGTCTATGGTACAGAGGGTAAAGTCTATGGTACAGAGAGGTACAGTCTATGGTACAGAGGGTAAAGTCTATGGTACAGAGGTACATCTATGGTACAGAGGGTACAGTCTATGGTACAGAGGGTACAGTCTATGGTACAGAGGGTACAGTCTATGGTACAGAGGGGTACAGTCTATAGTACAGAGGGGTACAGTCTATAGTACAGAGGGGTACAGTCAATGGTACAGAGGGGTACAGTCAATGGTACAGAGGGGTGCAGTCTATGGTACAGAGGGGTACAGTCAATCAGTCAGGTGTAGTTATTTTAGTCCGCGATACATGTTTCTTTCTCACAGACCTATGGTACAGAGGGGTACAGTTTATGGTACAGAGGGTACAGTCTATGGTACAGAGGGTACAGTCTATGGTACAGAGAGGTACAGTCTATAGTACAGAGGGGTACAGTCTATGGTACAGAGGGGTACAGTCAATCAGTCAGGTGTAGTTATTTTAGTCCGCAATACATGTTTCTTTCTCACAGACCTATGGTACTGACAGATACAGATGGGTACAGACCGGACAGAGGGATACCGACAGTCAGATACAAACGAGTACGGGGGTACAGACAGATACAAACGAGTACGGGTACAGACAGATATAAACGGGTACGGGCGTACAGACAGATTCAAACGGGTACGGGGGTACAAACACAGACAGACGGGGATAGACAAATACAAATGGGGAGAGACGTGGACAGACATATACTTTTGAGTACAGTCCAGTGGGGGCGGGTCCCGGTATAAAAGTGGCCAAAATGACGTGCGCTGATATGCTTGCAATACCACCCCGGGCCGATGGGGGTGGATCCCGAATAAGAATTAGAATGCTAACATATAGCGTTGGCAGACCTCTGTAAAACGTCTTTACAGGATGGTCCAAAAGTTGCCTCGTCTTGGCCCAAAGCTCTGTTCCACATGTGTGTCAATGCTGAGGGGGGTGAATTCTTTTGGACCACTCTAGTTTTCTCGCTGTGAATTTTTTAAGTCTCTTGTTCAAACGTACAAATGAATGGAGCTTGCGCCAGCGCATATGCAGATGCGTTTTTTCCATTTTCCACAATTTTCTTGTGGACGGGACCACTCGCGGCCATTTTGGATAGCTCCAGTAGAGCACTATTTTTGGCCCATTAGTTAGAACCATAGACTGTATATATTAACGGCGGAGATATATTAATTTTTACAGTCTATGGGACAGTCCGATATAGACGGATGAAGGGCACAGGCAGGTACAGACGGCCACGGATAGACGTAGGAACAAAGGGGTACAGACAGATACAGACAGAGGAACACAAGTACAGATCAGCCCCCTGGCTCTTGCTGCCAGAATCGGTTGCGGTCAAACTGCGATATTGCACCGTGTGGGCCCAGAATTCCCGCCTGAGCTATTTTTCGTCTCTACGTCACTACACACAGCTCGCGTTTGTAGATGACGGAAGCTTTAATAATGTTTGGATTTAGACGATAATGTGTTGTATTTACACGACCTGAAAAAACCCCACATTGCCAAATAGCCACGTTTCACTCAAACTTTAACTCATAGCGCGTGCCCAGAGCCTCGCTCGCATCCCATGTCACATGTTCACAAACTTCCTCAACCATGATCCCGGGGATGTACCAGAATTACACGTAAGTTGTATTTACTTATGAATGTATGTGGATTTCAAGAATGACTATTTCCAATTAAGGCATAATTAGCTATCCCATGGTCAACAAAACAAGCTAAAGTTTACAACCATTTTAAACATCCATTGCCATTTTCACGAATGGATCGTAATATTCATATTTTTCATGAATATAATATTTTTTTCTCAACAGAAATAGTCTTGTAAAGTGAAATAATGTGAAACAATCTAAATGAAATTCAACCAAACTAACAGCAGCCCTCTTTGAGGAATTTACAAAATAATTATAGATTTTGCACCAACAAATTTGAGAATCATTTAACACAAGAAATCAATAATAATGCAAACACACAGAAGCCATTGGTCCAGGGTAGCAGTATTAATATGATCATTTTTTCCTTATCTGAAAGTTCTGAATCTAAAGTTGTGGCAAGTTAAGTCCAATGCACTCACATAGCACATTTGACTAACTCGAATATAGTCAACTCAACCAAAGTTGACCAAAGTATAAATATCCACAGCAAAATAAGCTTCATCCAAACATGCAAAGGTGCTGCAGTTAGGCTGGGGCAAAGGCCACTGGACTTGGATTCTCCCCATTCCTGTTATTATTTGTATGTTGTATGAGGCGACAATAGCTCAGTTGGTAGAGCATTGGCCTTGAAGCCAGAAGGTTGTGGATTTGAGCCCACCTCAAGACTTTCATCATCGACTCCCACTGTCTGCTGTCGTTGTGTCCTTGGCAAGACACTTAACCTCTGGGAACACCTAATGCCACAGTGGGGCGGCTGCGGCTGTAAAGTGCCAAACTGCCGTTGTGTCCTTAGGCAAGATACTTCACCCCCATTGCCTTGAATGAGTCTGGTGTGTGTGTGAATGGTTGGTGGTGGTCGGAGGGGCCGATGGCACATACTGGTTGCCTCGCTTCTGTCAGTGTGCCCCAGGGCAGCTGTGGCTACAGTAGTAGTTTATCACCATCGAGTGAAAGAATAATGACATGTAAAGCGTCTTTAAGTGTCCAAAAAAGCGCTATATAAAACTTATGCATTATTGTTATTATTTTGTTTATGTACATTTTATTGTATAATATTTTAAATAGTAAAGTGTGGTGCTGCCTCTATTGTGTATTTGGCAGTAAATCATTATGCGGGCAGACTCACTTTTTTCTTGTTGCCTGCCGACAGGGTTATGTGTTATTGTTGCACTCATTATCTATGTCTTCTATTTTGTAGTGTATAATAATGTGAACTTGGGGTGTGATACTTTCTCCCGCGATTCGATTATCGATTATCGATTTTTTGTGTTTTTTTTGTTTTTATTCTTTTTAAAATTGGTATCAATACTTAATATATGGCTACATTACGCATTCCATTCCATTTATCATGAAATAAAGTGTATTTTTTATTTTATTTATGCCATAAATAGGCATATTGTATATTTCTGACCAATATATCGATAATCGTCATATCGTGATATTGTTACCGTGATAATATCGTTATCGTGAGCTTTGTATCGTGTAGCGTATCGTATCGTGAGGTACCCTTAGGTTCCCACCCCTATTGTGAACTCACTATGATCATGTGATGACTTATGACTTACTGTTGGACCATGATGCTATAGTTGAGACGTATTGGCATAAAATTATATATTTAGCAATCTGATGTGCTTTGGGCAACTTCATTGTTTTCTACACATTGATTCCTACCCGCATGCATCCAAAGAGCACCTGACCGGCTGCTGTCACTGATTTTAGCCCTCAGTATCAAGTCAAATGTCTATGTGAATCTACATATATAGATAAAATCAAAATATCATTGTTATTAAATATATAATATATATTTTATACATATGTTTCAAGGAATGTCTATATTTATCTCAAAAATTGCTTCTTATTCTTTGCACACCTAATTCTGTAACATAATAAACAGAAATATTAACCTTTTCCAGTTGTTTAAATTATCTCCTTATCTTTAATTATACTTGTAATTTATTGTTAATATTCTATTTAGGGCTATAATGATCAATTACAACTAATCACGTTTTCTCAATGATTGTCAACTATTTTAGTAACCAATTAATTGTAAAGTGCTCTTCATACAAACTTCAACTCATTTATTTGTAAGGAGTTATTTTAACACGCAAATAGAGCAATAATTGCACCAAAAATAAAAGGAATTCAGTAAATGTCTAGTTTTTAATGATGAAATGTGATTACTTTGATGATTATCCAAATCGTGGTTATTTACAGCATTATAATATACATGACTTGAAACTACAATTGGGAACTTCATATTGATTTTTTTCCTTTACTCAACATTTCCAGCAGGGGGCGTGTTGTACACATTTTCTCAGTCTGACATCTCACAGCAAACTGGTAGCCCCAGAGAGTGACGTATAAACTGCTGCGGATGTAATTTATCCATTTTTAAAAAAGTGATTACAAATGCAGAATTTGATACAATGTGTTTGATTTCAGCTCTTGCGGTGGTGGCTGCAAGAGACCCAGGACAAACGCACCTCCCGATAGAATGCTGCACTCATCATTTTAGCCAAGTTGCTGTTGACCTGACGCCAACACCACAAAACACGACAAGTAATTTAATTTGCCACTGCTGTCGACCTTGAGAGAGAGAATGTAGGCTACCAGAATCCCAATAGGGAGGCTGGAAGAACACGTCCTGGGAGCCAGGGAGGGCCATTTCGTTCCTCTGGTATCATCACACACTTGTCTTGTCTCTTCCATGCTTGACCTTCATGTTCAATTTCCGTTTTAAAAGTTAGTTAGTGATTTGCATTTTTACGCATCTCAGCTAATGACACAAATCAAGCATTAATTTTAAGCTATACAGGGTTTCAGTACATCCATCCATCCATCCATTTTCTTCCCCTTAATCCATTTCTGGGTCGGGGGGGTGGCAGTCAGAGCTGCACCCAGTACACAGAGCACCAGCCCCTGTGGTTTCAGTACAATGTGTTCTTTTAGAACAAAATACATAAGTACAAAGTCTCTGCACTAAATAATTGATAGCCATAATGATCAATATATTTTTGATCAAAACATGTTAAATGGCAGGTGCTATTCATATTATTACTATTCTATTACCTCCGCAAGGGGTCTTGACACCAAATCTCCACTGCTCACCTAAGTAAATTGACTATTATCTAGCTGTGTTGTATGCAAAATATCATTTATGGTGTCGTTGTCCAGCGCTTATATGATTTAATCTCCTTTAAAATATCTTTGGTCTGAATTCAATATTGGTCATAAAATCTATATACAACCTTGGTGACTGAACGGTTTTGCAGAAAGCAGCTGTACCATACTCTCTCCCCCCATTTAAAAAACGCAAACAGTTAAAATAAGTTCCAATTCTCTATTTTATTAACTAAAATAGTGCACATTCAATGTAATTGATAAATAAAATAGATATATCATATTTTTAGATATTGTTTGATATATTTGGGTCTTTACTCTCCAGTCTGTGAGTGTTCTAATGGAGACCAGTCTTCCAGCTATTTGGCAGAGCATTTAATGATATAGCTTATAGCCACATTCCCAACTACAAACCTCCATAATGACTGACTAATGATAGGCTGCATTTGTTGTTGTTTTTTCCTCTTTCCTCTGTCTTGTCATCCTATTGGCTAGTGACCATGACCATTTGTTGACTTTTCCGTACAGACTTTTACTCTGCCAGGGAGAGGTTATTTATGGTACGGATCCTTACGTAATTGCTGAAACATATATAATTATCTAGCGTGTGCTTAGTTTAAATTCACAATGGATGCCAGTATGAGTTCTCAGGTTGCTAGGTTCATTGCTACTATGAGATGGAATATGTGTGTTGCCCAGTTATTTCACTTTTGTAGGTAGGTAAATCTTTGACATCCTTGTTTGTTTATTGTTTTGTTAAATCACTTACTGAAAACATATTTGATTTTGTCTGCCCCCTAGTTATTCCCCTCTAGACAAAAGTAGTAAATGGGCTTTGGGTTTTCCGTGATTGCTCCAGATGATCTCACCTTGAATAATACAATTTTCAATTAAGCACCAATCTCACAAGAGCTTTTGATCAAGTGTGCTATTTGTTGTTCACTTTCTGTTGCTCTTAGTCACATAAACATCAGTGTGATCTTATCAGGAAAAAAATATACGTCTAGGTTAGCAGAATCTTGTTTCATGCAGCCAGGGAGTCTATTAAAGATTACGTGGCACAGAGTCAGGACCCGGCTGAGTAGATAGTTTAAGTATAGCTTCTATGATTAGGCTCATCTTCACATCTAATTACTGGTATTTGGTGTCAAGCTGTTGTGACACTGAGCGAGAAAGCGTTGGGATTTTATAAAACACCAAATGTCTGTTTAGGAGAAAAGTAAACATGAACATACTCAAGGCAGATAAGGACATTAAGTTTATTTTTTGTATGTCAACCATCTGAAGTATTAGTTACTAGCATTAACAAATATTAGTCTTAATAAAGTTTTTTTTGATAGTTGTTGATTTTGACATGATTAATCCCTTTTTGATAGGTTCTAAACATCCTGACCAGGTGCTACCATGAGCCAGTTTGTCTCATTTCTCCACACATGTTAAGTTTCCTCTGTTCAATAAATCCTGTCCTGTCTCTTGTTTAGCTCCTTAGCGTATCCAGGAATGCAGTAGTGGCACTTCCATACTGCAGTGTCCAGTGAGCCCTAAAAAGGAAAGGTAGTCTCACTCTCATTTCAAGTAGCTCATGGTTGTGGAGAAGCTAAATTAGGCCTGGTTTTCATTGACTCGATTTCCCAAGAGTCACGGCACCACCAGAACTCTGTATTCATCCTCTGCACCGCTAACATAAGCTCAAGTGTAAGAAGCAAATTATATTGCTTGAAGGTGTGATGTAGATATTCAAATGATAATAATACAATATTAAAATAACATTTATAGTGTATAGGTAAAAGTGGGTGAAGAAATAAAAACCAAGAAAGTTTAAACAATGAAGATCAAGTTTAGGAGTAAATGTTACGATGCTTGTTACTCCAATATTGATATGTTTGAAAGCTTGACAGACTTCAGAGGTATCAGTCTATTATAACAGCCAGTGCATGATATGGACCATCATGTTTATTACTGTATAACAATGTATGGTATTGTCAGCTTGTCTCTTGCGCTTTTGCAGTGCTGTCCATCTTGATCGAGTTTGTCTCTTTCTTTGCACTGGCAGTGGGAGACAGGTGCTGAGTGCTGCTGAGTGCTGCTGTCTGTGTGGGCTCCAGGGGCCTACTTCGACATTCCTGTGATGGTTTGATAGACACTGTCCTTCGGGGATAAAGAGGAGTAGGCCAGATGCACACGAGAGAACTGACTAGGTAAGTGAATTTTAATAATTTTTAGTGTCTTGGCTATGCAAAGGTCAGGATAACCTATTTCTCTATTTCATCTGTACGGCTCTGAACAGCAGGCGTTTAGCACACTTCCTCAATTTCAAAGTTGACTTGGTAGTAGTAATGCTTCTTGTTGCACATTGCTGGTGTCACTCACACTTCCGCTTTGTCACTTTTTTAATGTTTATGGTTAAAATTATTTACGCCTGTGTGCTAATAAAATAAGAAGTTATAAAAGTGGTGCTGTAATGTCATGAGCATGCTTCTATAAGCAGGCGATGCAAATGAGATAAGGAGCGGTTGTCATGGTGACTTGATGTTGCGCAGTGATCATTCGCTGTTATCCTGACCGCATTTGTGGTATAGCCGTTGCTAAGCAGAACGTGCTATTATGAGTGACTGAAGTAGCGGAAGAGCGAAATAAAGATGTTAGATGTCCCATAATGCATTGCGGAGGTTAAGTTGCGATGAAGTGGCCTTAGCTGTCCTAGTGAGCCGTCAACACTAGACAGACACAGGTAAGCGTGCGTGTGTGGCAATTTATAAAGGTGTTCTGCTTCACACTTTTTGCGCCAAAGCTGAATTGATACACTTACTATACAGCAACCTGACTTTCCACACATTTTTTTGAAGTTTTCCTTGTATTTATGCATGTTATTAATTTGAGTAGTTCTATCTCTTGTAAAGTTTCTGGGCTCCACTTTTTCTCTTTTTAACATAAAATGTCTGAAAAAACTGCTGCCTAACAAGTGTATTTTTCTTTCTGTCCAAGTATGTTTTGTTGAATTATTTTTGTTTTTAAGGAAATACTTTTTTTCTAACCATATTTTTAGAGTCAATTGAAAAAGGCAATAGATATCTGTTTGTATAATTGGAGGTTAAAATGATGGATCAAAATATAAAACTTTTGCAATGCCTCCAGCTAGTGTGCACATACACACATCCACCCGGGTGTCACACGAGGACAAGGCATTGTGCTATTTCCTTACTGTGGCTTTCACTCACATGAAATGCACCTGCTTCCCCTGCAACTAAGTGCAGAGATGTTATGAGAGAGAAATGCATTAGACAGGAAAGTTATAGAACATTTATTAAAAAGAAAGAAAATTGTTTTGTCACCAACTTTTTATTCACCGTGTTAGCTTGTTTACCTACGTTTTTCATACAAGCAACAACTTGTGGACATTCAAGTTATCCAGTAACATTGTTTTGCTGTCTCATTCTGCCTCCAAAAAAAACTTATGAGTGAAATGACTTACAGTACATTGAATGCAAGCACCCCACTGTGGCGCTTTCTGCTGGACTGTCTAGTGTTGCAGTTGTTGCTGTGATGATCTGTAATGGGAGTGTAATGTGTATTTGCGGCCTTCGTGATAGATGAGCCGTCAGAGCTTGGCACTGGGAAGCTCTGGGACATTTCTTCAGTGGAGTGAGAGTTCAGATCAGCCAGCCCGTGTCATTTACAGAGGCCTGGGAAATAGCAGAGCACTGAGATGATAGGAAGCTTGAGGTGGAAAGTTGCATTCAGCTGGGAGGAGGAAGAAAAGTAAGGTAAACAAATTATATTTGACAGATAGACACAAGCTTATGAGCATTTTATTTGATGCAATATTCTTTTTTGCTATTAGAATGAAAGAAGGGGGATAAAAGGTTCAGAGGTTAAAAGAGGATTAAGTAGTGGACCATGCTGTACTTTATTAAAATTAATTTGCCCAGTGACATCAACATAAGGTTCAAATCAGTAGTAAGTATTGTTCCAGATACTAAGGTAGGGAGTCACTGGGTCCTTAGCAGTTTATTACAATTCAATTCAAATAGTATTAATCAGTTCAGGTGCACAGTGAGTTACTGAGAAAGCCCCTTTTTTCGTTTTGTGTGCTCGCTCGTCTTTGTTCCTGTTTTCAGTTGCTTCACACATAATTAGCTCATGTTTGCACTTTTTGGTTCACCTTGCACAGCGCTTGTTCTTGCAATACTTAAACCGCTCCAATAGCTCATTGATCGCTGTTGGCCACAGCACTCTTATCGCTGAGTTGCATACGTCAAGCAGGAAGTTAAGACAGAAGGAGATATAGAAATGAGATGAAAAGAAAGGAGAATTGACTTTGTTTACTATGGTCTAAATAGTTCTAGAGCAAACCTGAAGAGTATTCCATTGTCATGATAGTTTATAGATTATACTTGAAAATTGATTGTGAAGCAAAAAGGGCAAGATGCAGCACAAGAATGATAGATAATTCTTTGCGTCTGTCCTAAAGTTTTATGATGACCAAGGGGCTAGTAATCGTGTGTCACCTTCAAGAACAGTTCAGACACTATTCTACTTTGCTATATTTCTGCCAAAAAATGTATAGCAATAACTCAGCCAAAGAGGTTGACGATATCCATGTTAATTTGAAGATGGATGACGCATTTAAGTGAAGATTATTATTATTGATAGTAAAAATATTGTTCAATCATTGTTGGTTGGTGTGGACTGTAGCAGTTCACCATCTCTAAATGCTCTTTGGCGACAAAAGGTGTAAATTAAACTAAAGTATGGTTACTATGAACAAGTAATGCATTTTGTTATTATTGTTTTATTGTCCATTTGGCCATTTTATAGTTTACTATTAATTAAAAAAAAGTATAATATCATAATATTAAATTATTGAATCTGCACTCCGGACATAATTTAATGTTAATTAGATGTTAGCACTGGCTTGTTAGCCCAATGCTCAAAAAGACTTTCAAATAATAGTTGCATGCTTAAGGTGGTTTGATATTCAAATCAAATGACTTTGATCTTAAATTAAACCCAATCAAGAGGGGAAACAAAACATCTACTCCGCTTTATTTGTGAATGAAAGCATTTTTGAAACCTATTCATTTGGACTGGCAACAGATATCAAGAACAGTACTTCCCTTTAATCAAAATCAAACCAAGTGAGTCAGAGACAATATGCGGGATCAGGCAGTTAAGTTGGCACTAACACTTGACTACAATCTGCGAGCATCCATGTCGACGCCAAGGACAGTGTCTCCATAGCGACCATATTTTGCAGAATCAAGTCCAAATCAAATTCCTTTGGCTTTCTTGATTTACCCTAAACGTGTCATGGCAGGCATTCTTTTGTGAATCACACAGGTGAGAGGACAGCTACATTTCACTTGAGAGAGCTCTTAACAGCAGCACTAGTCCAGTTTCAATTTTAGCTCCACTTAACCTACTTCGCTCTGGCTTCTTTCATTGCCGCTTATAGTATTTTCTCTTTTTTGGGTAAAAAGAATTCAAACCCCATGAACTATTCCACATTCTAAATTTCTAATACAAAAGCACAACTTGCAGTCACAAACAAGGCTTCATGTTTGAGGGACCCACTTTGGAGGAACTCATTACAGTTAGCATTCAGTTTACACACCAGAAGAAAAGAAAACCCACTCATGCCAAGCACTATATGGACTTCATACACGTACACAGCAGATAGGGACTCACAAAACTCACAAAACTCAAGACAACCCTTAGTCCACCAAATTGCCAGCAAGAGCAAATGCAACACTATAAATATAATACTATGTGAATTGTGCAATAAAAAATATATATATACTGTATGTAGGAGCAGTAGAAGCTGAGACCAACAAGTTCAAACTGGGTCAAAGAGGCCATTAAAGTCAGGAAGTGAGTTGTATACACCATCAATTGTGATGAAGGAGTTAAAATTATGAACCTTTACCTGCGAGTCTCTACCTCCTTACCTTTGGAGCCACCTGACGGGGTTGACCATGAGAATACTTGACAGAAAGATATCTGCGTTTGGACCATCCACCAAGCTGACCATACAATTTACTCAAATATCAATTTGGCCACATGCTTCATTAGGATTTACAGATAAACATTAACACATGCTGGTCCTCTATATATGGCCATAAAATGCAAACTTGTGCTCGGGTACTTCAAAGTTTGGTTTATACACGTCCTGTTTTGTTTGACAATTTGACATATTTGGTTTCTGTCCGTTTTTCTCCAGAGACGCCCGGGTGAGTGGAGACATGGTCAGTCTGAGTGAGCATGTGAAATAGCAGATTTTTTACATTTATTAAATTTGAACTTAATCTAACTGCATTAACAATCGTTTTGTTATTTTATTTACGTTAGTTTGTTTTACAACAATAACAATGTTATTATTGCTATATAGATTTTCCACCATGCTAGTCAAGTGTTCATATTTGAGTGCCAGATTTTTGCCTCTGTATTCCCTGTCAACGTGTTTACCCCTGCTGTGTGTTTATATTCCATCTAATTTTGTTTTTTCCTGCCGCCTTTCATCTTACATCTGTGTTTTCTTAGTTTTTCCTCTGCTTTCTTGCTGCCTGGATAAGTGAGGGCAATGCTGCTTCTGCTGCTGCTGCTGGTTGGGCTGTTGTAACTGAAGCAGCACTTCCGCGTGTTGTTTTAGGGGGTGGGCGGAGGCAGGGGTAACCAGGGGGCGTGGCCAGACATTGGAAGTGAGGGAGGGTTGAAGGGACTGCAGGATCTGTATGCCGGGCCAGCGCAGTCCCACCGCCTCCTCCTTTACCACAGCTGTTGCTACTGCCGCTGAGCAGAGCTGAGCGAGCAGAACTTTCTCCTCCCCAGGCAGCAGCGGCAGACAGACAGACCCTTGAGTCTCAGTGCAGCTCAGCACCAGTGAGGCAGGGGAGGGGATCCACTATAGCGCAACACTCCTCCTTTGCTTATCCCTCCCTCTCTCTTGCTCGCCCTCTGTAGCAGACAGTCTGCGCTGCTTTGGTCCGCACAGCTCCCTCAACTCATTCGCGGCTGCTGACACCACCGCTCTCCACTCGCTTGCCCCTTTTTCTTCTCCTTGCCTTTGCTCCACTCCGTGCCCGCCGCCTGCCCTGAGAATGGTCCAGCCGGTGCCTGGGGGTCTACTGTCGGGGCCTGTCTGAACATACGCATAAACAGTTCCAGACTAGCCAGAGCGTGGCAGCAACCACACACAAGTCGGAGCGCAATGTGAGAGGTAAGAGATTTAGAGGAGAAACCCTCCTCTCTGTCTCTCTATTGGATCATCTAGAGCTTTCCCCCATGCGCTGCAGTCTTTACTTTTTCCAGCATAGGTAGACATTTGGGAATTTCTCTGTCTGCCTGAGAGTCTCCTGTCTGCTCTTCAGTATGCGGGCCACAGGGTCCATCTGTGACAGCTTGTTTTATAGACACACATTCACGTAAACACCTCTTCCAAAGACACATTCTTGGCTTAAAGTATACAGCCACACAATAGCATACTTCCTCAGGGTAGCGCTAGTTAGCAAGAAAAATTGCTGGTGTGCATGTGTGTGTGTTTTGGACAGCCACGGTCATTCCAGGAAGCAGAGGAGAAGAGGATCAATAGAATCGCCCACTCAGCTTTCATTCCCTTCATCTGACTCAACAGTGGACATGTTGGGAGTTATCCGGCTTGGATCACTTATCACAGAGAATGTGCATATTTTCTTTTCCCTCTTCCAAGACACAGTGAAGCATGGTTCTGCATGTGTCCCAGGCCTGTGTGTATACGTTCTGAGGTAAACTCCCTCCCCGCTGCATGTAAATTATCTGTGACATGTGAAGCCGTCGCTACCTTATATGGCGCGCACAGTATTTCAGTACAGTTGAAAGTGGCCAAGCATTCCGGGTCGCGGGAGGAGAGACTGTGTGAGAGGGTGACTGTCTGTGGGAGTGTGTGTGTGTTCAGTGCATGTGCGCTACTTAGTGAGTGTTTGCATGCGCCTGACAGAGGGGGAGTAACTCAGAAAGAAGGCAGAAGAGGAAAAGAGGGTTAAAAACTTGAGAAGACGCAGACACATGGACAATGGAGCGATATAACTTGTCTTTATTGAATTGGATATAAAAGTAAGTCTTATTTTACATTTGTAAATAACTCTTGTGTTATTGTCCACACAACATTTATAGCAAAACAAATGGTTTGGGAAGTTAGTTTTTTAAGGCTGATTTCTCAGAAAGAAGTTACCTCCGCTAGGGTTTTTCATCTGGGGTGTTTTGGTTAGTTAGTTTGTTTGTTTGGTGGATTTTTACTTTATCTTCAGTAAATCTCTTGGGAAAGAACCAAAGGATTGAATTTCGGAGATTGTTTAAAAGAAAATATCTCTCGTGCTTGAGTTGCTATATCAAACCTTTTGTGTTGGTTTACGTCATGTACATGTGGTGTTTTGGAGTTTTGCGCATTTTGTGCAAATATGGACATAATTTACTTTATATGAATACATTTAGTGAAGTTGAAGAAAGACAAACAGACTGCATGGTAGATTCTGCGCCATGTCTGAACCTTGGGACGCAGCTGCAGGTAGTTTCAGTGTCTGTGTGCTTTCAAGATAAGACGTCTGTGCATCATATGTACGCTGCTAAGTTAAAGATAATCCACTGTTGCATAATTTGTATATTCAAAATATTAAATTATATCCAACCATTAACGAGACACTGAAATCCATTCATAATATAACCCTATCATAAATAATTATTTTCTCAAAGTGAATCTTTTAGTAATAAGGTTTATATAAACCTTGTATTAATGTAGCCTATAGGTTATGAAAATGATTTCTAGACACAAAAGGGTAGACTTTAGTCGGTTAGGAGATTAATCAGTCGATTGTGTCTTTGGGAACTTTTCAATAAGTCTACTAATTATTATAATTACTATTATTATTATTAATTACAAGAATTTCTATTGGAAAACTGCAGACATAAGAATACATGGATCAAATTTGTGGAGGAATTTGGTATTCACTTTGATAGTCTAGCCAAATTGAGGTCAAACTCAATTTTTGATAACAATTTTAAATGGTCTAAAAGGTTGTTTTTCATGAAACAGTTACACTAACAGTTCTCTGTTAATCTCTTTCTTTTCCTTTTTCTTGATCAAGTGCTTCTTTCCTTTATTCTTACTGTTACACTGACATTTCACATTCCTCAATGTAGGACTTATCTAATACATATACATCCCAACATTGATAGATACTTGGCATAGGATTGTAGTACTGAAATGTACCACTGAAATGTTTTCTTACAGCTAGATTTTTCTCAATAACTGTGTTGTTGCCTCTAGTCATTTCTGCACAGGGAAATCGTGTCAGGCAATGCATGGAACATCTGTGCAATAAGAGGAAATAGGCAGGTGAGGCGCATGTCGAAGCCTCTTTACGTTTACAACATAACACATGCCAACACAAGCTTGTCCTTGTTTTTGCATATCACACTCGCATCAGCCTCTGACATCTCACCACAACCTCGCCCTCAGACAACATATACAAACTACATTTAATCACCCACTCCTGTCTTGTCTCCTTGCAACCTTGTCAACTGTTCACACTTGCACACTGGGCACATAGCAGGTCGGACTGGGTAGTGGACACAAATGATAATCCCATAGATATACAGAGGAAGGAGATGGCTTACTGTAATTTGTCATGCCTACATTTTAATTACTCAATAACCCAGATATGGTTTAGCACATTGTTAGGTATCAAAGTTATTGTTGTGGGTAGCATTGGACACCTCTTATCACCTGCCTGAAAGCAGACAGCACTAAGCTGTGGTAGACTGAGTTGTTTCCATTCTGCTGAAACAGACGCCTGAACAAATATGAGCCGGTCAGCCACCCATTACAACCCATGTCTGACTATTAGCAACAATGTGCACTGGCTTCACAATACATCCATATACAAAGTGATCAACTGAAGCATATATTAACTTTTTGCATTTTTGTCTGCATTTCTTCCTATTTACGGTAAACAAGAGCTCATATTGTCTGCAGAGTTGGCTCCCAGTGGAATCAATAGGCTTTGTTGTTTGTTGTGCAGTTTCTGGGATAGGAGTCACTTTCCCTCTCTCTGCCTATGCCATTCACCCCAATGACATACCATTTATTTAAACTTCTAGTTGAGACAAGGCGATGATGTGACACGATAATGATTATGGCGGTAATAGTACGGTGACGTCATTCCAGTTATGAGGTATTTGCAAAGATGCGTCTTGGGAGGCCCTATCTGTCATTTGTACTATAATTTTGAAATGATGTAATAGAGGATTAAATATATATTTACTAAATTCTCAATTTGCTCTAACGGTATGTTTTTTCTGGCTTTTTTGTTGTCGCAAGGGCTCAGTTAGCGATATAATTAGTAAGATTGTAAGTAACGATTACATTCTTACATATGATATCTATGAATAATATAGTTGCTTTAAAATTTATACATTTTCCCTTCAAGGTGCCTTTACAATGTCTAGGTGTTAACCTCTGCTAGACCTTATTTATGTCTGTTTTACGCTGTCGTTTATGTGTGTTTCTGTTAAAAATGTATATAGAAGCAACAATACATGTAAGATCCGGACACAACCTCTTGAACAGTGGCCTGTACGTATGTAAGGAATGAGAGATGAAGATGCTCACGTGTCTCTCCGCTGCTGTGTATGTGTGAGTGAAGGTCAGCGGGGGCACTATTGACATGCTATATTCTGAGCACATGGAGCAGTGGCTGCAGCATAGCCCTGGGTGTAGCATTTCTCCCAGCATCCTCTACTGCCTGTGACCTACCTCCACCTCTGTCAATATGCTGAGACCACTTTTCTACATAACAGCAGCAAGCCAAGAAGCAGGCAAGAAAGAGGACTGGATCTCTTTCCTCTGCAGTTCAAGCTGAAAATAGACAATGTTGGTTACAAGTAATCTTACTGTTAAAATCAAGCAACGTTTAGAAGTTAGTTTTTTTTTTAGGAAGTCTTGTAAAAATTGTCAACCTCACCCCGTTTGTCATTGTCTAGCTCTAGCAAAAGTTCTAGCTGTTAGTCACTGCGACAACTCAAGACCAGCCCTGATGGGCTGTGTTTCAATCAGTCAAAACATGCCTTCTTGACAAAACACATCTTTGTGAGTGCAAACATCCTGGCACCATCCATCACAGTTCAAATCACTGGAAGGTTTCATACATAGCTCAAGCATTGTGCAAAGGTGAAGCAATGCTTTCTAACATGGCTTTTTCTGTTATGTCTTGTAATGAAAATAAATTAAACTCCAAGGGTTTGCACCATTAGTGCATTTGTCAAAGTCATATGACAAAGAGTTGACGTAGTGATCTTCTGATACTGTAGAGACATACTTCCTTTTTTGCTGTAATATCTCCACCACGTGTCATTACAGGATAGAAAGCACATGGGTTTCCTTATCCGCCATCTTTGCCTAGTACAGTAGTTGACCTTGCACCAGCTTGCTTGACCTTGGGACTCTTAAGTGGAGTCGTTGTGGAGGCTGGAGGCTTTGTCACTTGGTAAATTTGAAGTAAAAAAAAAAAAAAAATGATTAACAGATCCAGAAGAACAGGAAGTATCATTTTAGGGAAAGTAAATCTTTAAACAAATGTTGCAGTCAGAGAAGTGGAATTATATTTGGCGGTTGTTTGTTGAAATGAATGCCGTATAGATGAAGAAAACTGATATTTACATTGGAAATAGATAGAGGGAGTGCTGTACTGACAAGAACTTCTGTTGTGAAGAAAAAAATCAATGACAAATTATGGGTTAGGGTTAGGGTCTGATGGGTTAGGGTTAGGGTTGTCTGATGATGAGCACTCATTAGTTTGACACTGTCATCCGCATTTGCACTGTAAGGGAAACTGGACATACTTACATTTGCATTTTATTTTAAATTTTATTTTAAAATAATATATTTTTTATGTTTTTTTTTTTTTTATAGGAAACATATTTTATTCTCCCACACTTTCACAAACAATAGGGATGTTTATAGTGCTGCTTAGACTAAGATGATAAGAGAATAAAACTACTCCTCATAACTACTTATTACACATAGACACTTTTTACAGACACATGTTGATAACTTGTACTTGTACTAAGATATATATTAATAATAGCATATAAATATAGATCTTGTTTTGAGTACTTCCTTTTTTTTTTTTCATATTTGTCATCAAAAAGAGAACATACAGTGCCTTGCGAAAGTATTCGGCCCCCTTGAACCTTTCAACATTTCGCCACATTTCAGGCTTGAAACATAAAGATATAAAATTTGAATTTTTTTGTCATGAATCAACAACAAGTGGGACACAATCGTGAAGTGGAACAAAATGTATTGGATAATTTAAACTTTTTTATTATTTTTATTATTCGGCCCCTTTACTTTCAGTGCAGCAAACTCAGTCCAGAAGTTCAGTGAGGATCTTTGAATGATCCAATGTTGTCCTAAATGACTGATGATGATAAATAGATTGCACCTGTGTGTAATCAAGTCTCCGTATAAATGCACCTGCTCTTTGATAGTCTCAGGGTTCTGTTTAAAGCGCAGAGAGAACCATGAAAACAAAGGAACACACCAGCCAGGTCCGAGATACTGTTGTGGAGAAGTTTAAAGCCGGATTTGGATACTAAAAGATTTCCCAAGCTTTAAACATCTCAAGGAGCACTGTGCAAGCAATTATATTGAAATGGAAGGAGTATCAGACCACTGCAAATCTACCAAGACCCGACCGTCCCTCCAAACTTTCATCTCAAACAAGGAGAAGACTGATCAGAGATGCAGCCAAGAGGCCCATGATCACTCTGGATGAACTGCAGATAACTACAGTTGAGGTGGGAGAGTCTGTCCATAGGACAACAATCAGTCGTGCACTGCAAAAATCTGACCTTTATGGAAGAGTGCCAAGAAGAAAGCCATTTCTCAAAGATATCCATAAAAATTCTCGTTTAAAGTTTGCCACAAGCCACCTGGGAGACACACCAAACATGTGGAAGAAGGTGCTCTGGTCAGATGAAACCAAAATCGAACTTTTTGGCCACAATGCAAAACGATATGTTTGGCGTAAAAGCAACACAGCTCATCACCCTGAACACACCATCCCCACTGTCAAACATGGTGGTGGCAGCATCATGGTTTGGGCCTGCTTTTCTTCAGCAGGGACGGGGAAGATGGATGGAGCCAAATACAGGACCATTCTGGAAGAAAACCTGTAAGAATCGAGAATCTGTGGAAAGAGCTGAAGACTGCTGTTCACAAACGCTCTCCATCCAACCTCACTGAGCTCGAGCTGTTTTGCAAGGAAGAATGGGCGAGAATTCCAGTCTCTCGATGTGCAAAACTGATAGACATACCCCAAGCGACTTGCAGCTGTAATTGCAGCAAAAGGTGGCGCTACAAAGTATTAGCGCAAGGGGGCCGAATAATATTGCACGCCCCACTTTTCAGTTTTTTATTTGTTAAAAAAGTTTAAATTATCCAATAAATTTCGATCCACTTCACGATTGTGTCCCACTTGTTGTTGATTCTTGACAAAACATTTAATTTTTATATCTTTATGTTTGAAGCCTGAAATGTGGCAAAATGTTGAAAGGTTCAAGGGGGCCGAATACTTTCGCAAGGTACTGTAAATATGTTTGGGGGGGGGGGGGGTATTACAGAGTTCCCTTAAAAGACAATCATTGTGAAAATGCATTCACATAAATTAGACACTGTAGTTCCAGTTTTTGTTTACATTAGTTGACACACAGTACTATGCACAATGTCCACACCCACTTGTCTCAACTAATGTTTGGCTATAGTCCATGGGCCAACTTCATTCCTTTCAAAGTTGTTGTCTAATAGTCAAAAGAAAGTCAATGAAGTATCAGTAGTCCAAAATTAAGCAGTTGGGTTTATGTTCCTTCCAGTTCATCAGGACATTTTGCAGACAAGCCCATTGATATTATATTATTCACATTTTTAGGTGAAAAGCTTTGTGTCCTTATTCTCAGTAAGTAGAGCATTCTGTTTTTCAAATTGTACATAGTTTTATGTTCATCAAATGATGTGAATACATCATTGATACATGTATTTAATTAGTTGGGATTGAGAAATGTATAGTTATTTTGCCTTGTTTTGTTTTCTAGAGTTTTGAGTGCCTCCTAATTCACTGTTATTGAGCTGTGCTCTACAACACTGTAATTTCTCCACTGTGAGATGGGCGTGGGTGCTTTTAGCTTCACATCTTATTGTAATTAATGATCCACTTATACCCACAATATTGAGATGTGTGTGTTTATGCGCGTTGTGCTGTTATGGCTGTTGATATGACTATGCTAACACTCCAAAGGTCATCAGCAAAGGGACTTTTCCGATTGCAGGTCATTTAAGGTGAAATGGAGAATTGTCTCTCTAGTTTTTCTTTCACGTTCATATTTAATGCTGGATCATCATTGTGAACATTGCACTGCTGCAGGACTGAAATGGCGTGTTGCAGGATTGCAGTGCCGTAAAGTTAGCTGTGGTTCATAGCACTGCTGAACATGCACATGCTGTTGTGGGATAAGCGATTTCACTGCACAGGGTGTGGTCTCTGCCTCTGTGATAAGAGCAGAATAGTCCTCTGGAACCACTCATTCACATTCCTCACAAGACTTCTACAAAATGTGCAAGTTTTCTAAATTTACCCAACAATATAACAACATTACAATTACAAAATGTCTGACAAATATTCTGAATCTGTTCTCATGTATTCATTATATCTTAACCTTTATAATATCTACCATTAGTTCAGTCTCTATGCACAGTGCAGCATGCAGGTCAGAGCCACTGACTCCTCCCTCGTTCTCACCTGGCGCTAAGCCCAGAATGTTACTGCAACTGCGCTGTCTCTCATTGGTCCATTCTCCCGCTCCACTTTGCAAAAAGGGAAATGACTAACTCTGGCCGACTTCCTTTCTTGCTTTCACTCTCTTCCTTTCATTCACCTCTAAACACATTAGCCATGGCCGCATTTGCTGTATTTAAGTGTAAGTGATACAGGTTTGATCGGATTTCCCCCATCACTAGAAATCCACCAATATTGTTAATGGCTGCTTTGTGTTTCTTTGTATGAGAAGTGTGTGTTCGGTTTGTAAAGGGTGGAAGAGAGCTGTGTTTGTTTTAGCCGACAACTTCACATAGCTGGCATACATATGCTTTTTTTCCCACAGTCTCTTGTGATTGCATGAGTTTATGCCGTAAACTTGTAAAAAGTGTGTGAAAATCATCAGTGATCAGACTAATTTCTCTGCATCTCTTTGCCTCTAGAGGAAGTGCCTTCCCTGATGTCTGCTGCAGCTTTGACCTGCTTCTACAGCTGAAGCTCCACCCTCCCCCTGCCTCGCTCGCTTGCAGCCGCGGTAACCTGAATCCAAGGACAGTGACCACACCTTCATCATTGTCCCCCAGTCCATCTCCAGCTTGTCCTCACCGACCTGCTCTGCTGCCGAGTGCTCTCCACTGAACAGCCTTACAGCACCACCTTAGCCCGCACAGTCTCACCCACCTGCCTTTAACGTTGACCCACAGGCCTCCATTCAGTCCTCAGTGTCCTTAACCTCCCTGTGGCAGGCAAGACACAGACAAGATCACCTTTGTTGCCTGCTTCACTGCACCTAACTGAGGTCTTAGTCCTGTCACCTGTTTGACACGTGTAAGATAACATTCTGATAGAGCAATAAGGGAAAAGGCACCATTTGTCAAAATCTAAGGTGTCCATCATTGAGCTAACACTCTCCGTCATAATTTCCCTCTGGACAAGGAACGCTCATGTTTAATTTTACCATCACTTTAAAGAATCACAGGCAGTAACAGGAAAAAACTGTGGATTAAAACACTCAAGGCACATTATTCAGAAAAGTTTTGTTCTTGCGTGTTGCCATGGCAATGAACATAGCACACATCCGTGATACCAAGTGGCTGACCCTGGAGGTATGCAGAGAGTTTCAGAGGGGCACATGCTCACGCACAGACCAGGAGTGCAAGTTTGCCCACCCAGCCAAGAGTTGCCAGGTGGACAATGGACGAGTCATCGCCTGTTTTGATTCGCTCAAGGTAAGAATCACAGCTATTATAATAGAACATCTGGTAATCATAGTATGTACACTATTTGGGAAGTTGTTTACAATTTATAGGGAAGCGAGCAGCAAAGGGTTGTAAGCTGGTGTCCTATTGAAGTCCATGCCATCTGGCCTCAGCATGTGCTCAGCTTCACTACCTACTTCTGGTCAGGTGACTGGGACATGTGACAACAGACGAAAAGGGAGGAGGCCATGATCTGCTCAATTCAGGAAGCAGAAGTCAGGCGATTGTGACACTGTTCTGTGGAATTTTCTCGGACAGGCCGAAGGCTTCTGGCCAATATTTACTCCAGGAGGCATTTTGTAAACCATATTTGCAGCCGATTACACAGGCCAACAGGACAGCCGTTAATGCAAAAAACATCTTTTCAAAGTGAGCCGTTCCTGAGGAGATAGTGTCTCGGTGTAGATCTCAGTCAGTTGAACCACTTCCTGTATTTGTGGGTAACATCCAGGGGAGATTTGGGGAACCGCATGCAGTAGTTTTCCATTTTTAGGTCAGAGCAAGCAGAGGCACACTTTTTTCTGTTATTTCTCATTTGCGCTTGTTGCCCAAAAGACACTCACGGTCATTGTATGTTAGCGGCACAGGGTGAGCGTGAGGACAGCATGTGAGCAGCACTGGTGGCCTGATGTGGACAGTGAAACATTGTTTGACCCGAACTTTAATCTTTTGTTTGCTGTTGAAATGTTTGTATGACAAAAACATGTGACTACGGTGAAATGTCTCATTTGCAATGCCTCAAGTGAATCATGAGGCTAGAACCTGGCCTCCAAGTTTATCTCCTTTTTTTCTTATATTCTCGATTATTCTTGATTCTCTTTTATCATAAGTTTATTTAAATCTTTTGCACTCTAATCGTTACTTCCTTTGATATGTAAACTTTTGATGTTGCATTCAATATAATTTATTTTTTAATTCAGTCAAATTTAAAAATAAAAAAAATAGAATACCACTTCTACACTGCATGACTATTGCAAACAAAAAGTCATATATCTAGGTTTTTTTTACAGCAGCACAGACCACTACAAAATTTGATTCAAGGGTAGCAAGTGGAAAGCAATGCTATTTTGGTCGCTTGTGTATTAATGGAGATGGGCGATACTTTTGTCAACCGTTCACCCCCTTTTCCACTGGTAATGAAAAACAGAGCAGGTCTCTGAAAGCCACAGTGGAAACAGCAGTAAAGACAGAGAGAGGTGGAGAAAGAAACATGGTGGAAAAGACGTTATGAGACTATTCATTGGTTAGAAAGAGAGAAGAAAAGGCCTAAAACCACAAACACAGACATTGGAATTAAAGCTTGTTGCTGATAAAGAGCTGTGCGATACAAATCCAGGAATTAAAAACTCAAAATAATATCATTATGAACATTTATTGGCATAATATGTCTGCTTGAAAACACTTGTAATTTGGTATTATTAATAATAATAATAGCAGTGCGTTGTGCCAAAAAACACAACTGTAGCGTATACATGAATAGATTAGGGATACACCAATACCAGTGTATAAAAGGGGGTACTGATCATAGACTGTATATATTAACGGACAGAGTCTCGCCTATCTCCGCCGTTCTAACTAATGGGCCAAAAAATATGCTCTACTGGAGCAATCCAAAATGGCCGCCAGTGGTCCAGCCCACAAGAAAATTGTGAAAAAACGCATCTGCGCATGCGTCAGCCGGCGCAGCTCCATTCATTTGAACGAGAGACTTCAAAAATTCACAGCAAGTAAACTAGAGTGGACCAAAAAAATTCACCCCCCTCAGCATTGACACACATGTGGAACGGAGCTTTGGGCCAAGAGCCAACTGTAAAGACGTTTTTGAGAGGTCTGCCAATGCTATATGTTAGTATTGGCTAATTCTTCTTCTGGGTCCACCCCCATCGGCCCGGGGTGGTATTGCAAGCATGTCAGCGCACGTCATTTTGGCCACTTTTGAGCTGGGATCCGCCCCCACTGGTACTGATATACAAAAATTGTTGAATCGGGTATTTTTTTTAATGAATTGTTGTTTGTTTGGTCAGTTGGATTATAGCTTTGCATCGATTGTCCCCTCACAAATGCTCACTCATCCTGAACTATTGTACATGTTTTAGTGGTTGGGGAAACCGAAGCACCCAGAGGAAACCTACGCAGAACACACACTCCACACAGAAAGGCCTTGTCTGGCCCAGGAGTCGAACCCATGACTTTCATTTTCATGTGTATTTTAAATAGTTGTTAAATAATACAATTGGACCCATTTTGCTATTAGTTAAGATAGTGGAAAAAAATCCTGATTCCACTTTAGTTTCTACTAGGCATCAGTTCTTATCGGGTATTGGCAGATACACATCGGTATCGGACATGGAATATGTAGGTCTGCGTCTAATTAAATCAATGATTCAGAAAATGCTTTTAGAGGGTCTCATTATAACAGATAATTAGACTGTACAAAACCTCACAAAGTCTTCTTAATTGAGTCTACTTATTGTTCGTTTGTGCACACGTTCTTCATGTCCCCCACACAGATGTCATGAAGCGCTGATTGACAAAGCCCACGGGACAGAGCCAACCCTCTTCTGTAGAAAAGTGTATAATTAGAACAGGTCTCGCATGCTCCGCAGCAGCAGCTCACAGACAAGGAGGGCACACCCAAATACTGTCATCTCTCCCTCCGCCACACTGCCCTGGCAAGCCATGTGCCCTAGTCTCCAAACAGCCAGGAGCAGAGCCAAGTGTGTGTAGAAGTGCCCAATCCACTGTCACGTGGATGAAACTTTTTTGAAACGGTTTTGCTCTGTTTTTTATTGGGGCATTTGTATGTGTAGGCCTTAAACTTGAACTTAAACCAAGGAAGCATCTTAGTGCTCTGCCTGTGGTCTGTATATCTTTGAGCGTGGGGCAGACAGCTTAGCAATGTCAAAGCTGAGTAAATATTTGGAGAAGGATAATGGCTGCCTGGACTCCCTGATGTTAAAGTCAGCTCCATGCCTATTAATGGTTAACTGCTGGACTGGTGTGGGTAATTGTAAATCTTCTCTAACTACTGCTCACATTTGATGCAAAGTAGAGTTTATATCAGCAGAGGCAATCTGGGCTACAGGAATAATAATTTTAGATTGTTATCAGTGCAAGAAGCGTAGTCGTGGATGAAACGAAAATTATCCATTTGTTTTTATTGAATCTTAATCTACTTCCATTGAGATCATAATAGTTTACTCAAGCTCGAATACAGAACTATCATGCATATCAGCTCCACCCGCTAACGACTTGTTTTTAACCGTCTAACGCGGGTCTATTCTGGTCTGCTGTATTTGCAGTTGTTTTCATTCTCCACCCTTATGTTGGGAGCTGCTTTTACTTGATTTCCCACTCAGTCTGGTTTCTTTGCCTCGTTTAGTCCAGGCCACACCCACCACTGGACAAGATGGTTCACATTACACCATACAAACCACACATAAATGAGGAGCGTGGCGAGACTTCAAGTAATAAGAGTGGCAGGACAAGTTAAAATGATTATTAAAATTGTGATTATATAAAGGGGTTGTGTGCGAACAATTCTCTACGGGAAAATAGGCTGGCAAAAAAAGTAGGTGCTTGGAAAAGAGTGGCCAATGAATCCATTCGTAGCACAGAAGGGGGAAAAACTCAAATGCCCATATTTAATTATTGAGAGAATTTATTTTTTCCCGTATAGTTGTGCTTACTGTCTGGTTTAGGTATTACAGTAACAGGTAAACTGTGAGAAAAAATATATTCTGTGGACAACTGCCCTCTCCAGATAATTTGGATGATAATATTAACAGGTTGCACTGCTGTTTGACACACCTATGCTATAAAATCTAAAGCTTGATGTCCAATTGAAGTGGTATTATTATTATTATTATTACTTAGTCAGGAACGCTCAAGAGGGTTGGTACAAACTATTATTTTATGTGTCATCTTCACCATTGACTTTTGCTGTGTTTACATTTGTGTGAGCTTACACAAGACACACACTCCTCCATAGGTTTTTCTGGAAGCAGAGCACGGCTGAGGTAAATATTAGCCGTGTTGCTACGCTGTATTTTATGACCTCAAATAAATTATACAGCCGCGCTCTGGGCAGTTAAACTAACACATTTTGAACAAGCATATGGCTTCAAGTTCAGGAAGGCTAATTCTTATTTGGCCTTGCTGTCACTTCTGTCTGGATAGTATGAATATGAATATAGGCCTCTTGTACTTCAGTTTTATATGGCAACAATTTTTGTATTCTGTTAAACTCTTATTTTTGTGAATGTTTTGACCACACTACAATAGTTCTGAAAATGTAAATTCAAAAAGCGCTGCCTGAATCTGATCTAATGTATTTGTTAATGCTGCAAAAGGCCAGTGAGATTTGATAGACGTTGAAGGAGATTTAGCCACATGTGGATATAGCACATACTAAATAATACAACATTGACTTTTGATCAAAATCACTAAAGGGGCATGTTTTTGTATGTCATTGTATTGTAACTAATCCAGATACTGATTATGTGATAACCAAATTAGTTCAATTTGACAATCTATTCAAATGATCAATTGCGGGTAGTTGAGATTGATCAATTAAATTGTTACAGCTTTGGATTATTCCCATCAGTTTATCCCTGTATTGAAGTGGACTATACTGCTTGAATAATGTTCACTACTATTAATAATGTTATATTATTGTCAATAATATGGAGCTTTCCTGCTCTGCAGGCCAAAGGCATACCGTTTCGTACCTTGTTGTTGTGCCACATTCATAGACAATCTGAGCGCTGTTTGTCTACAGCCACAGATGGGCGTGTGGAATCTACAGGCGTGTGATCCTCACATTGCCTGCTCTTAGGCTTCGAGCCAAATTATGCAAGAAAAATCTTCTTTGGACAAAATAACTGAAAATGTGTGCATTCTTATGGGGCAGGGTGATTTAGCAAAAATGAATCCATTATTTTTCAACAAAATGATTCACTTTTGATGTT